GTTTGTTTCCGTTAAATCGAGCTCTCATTAAAGGAAAGAATGCAGAAAAACAGGAAAAAAAATTACTTAGAAAAACTACCCAAAAAATAAATTACTCCTAAAAACAGAAATAATTACTCCGAAAAACAGACAAAGAAAACAATTACTCCGAAAAACAAACCAAAAATTTAAATTTCAAGTGAATGCAATACGCTTCCGTAGTTAGTCAATAGAAAATTAATTGCCAGCTATTTTGATAATTAGCTAAGCAATTTATCAAGCAAAAAGGCCAACAAATAGGGTGGTTCCAGCTTCTCAAATATGAGGATTTACTGCTTTGTTTTGTCTTTACGTTTTGTTGGTTTGCAAGTCAAAAAATAAAAAGAGGAAAGAGAAATTGTGATAGGCATTATTCCCTATTTTAGGCATTTAAATGATTAACTGATTAATTGGTGATGAAAAAAACATTAGTTAAAGCTGTGTGTGTACGGTGATTGGAAAAGTTGTGGGAATGTTTTGTTTTGTCACTCTGCATGCATTCATGTCTTCATCCCAGTCCCATTTTTTTGTCCCTCAAGGGTGCAAATCTTAAGTTTCCCTCTGTGTCTGAATGAGTACACCCCAGAAACCTTCTGCTGCCCTCCTCTCTCCTCATCACCGTCCTCTACCACACTCCTCTGTGAACTGATCCCCCCACTTGACAGCCACACCGATTTTGTTTACAGATAGCTTTCATGTTAGACAGAATAAACCCAGTTGATGTGTCTGTGGGTGCAGGAGTGGGAGGTATTTTAGCTGAATGGGCCAACATTGTTTTTTGGCTCCCAGTAACAAAACTGAGTTCTCTCAGTTTGATTAATGAGTGACTCTATTGCTGTGTATTTTTTGTGTTTAATTGTTGCCATGAGTGAACATGAAAGGTGTGTTTTTCAGCTTCAGTGCTACGGTATGTATTATCATTATTATCATCTTCTTCGAGCAGCCGTCTCAGAGTCTTTGCCTCAAGTCAATGTTTGGTCATTTGGTGAATAATAGGAGTGTAGACGTTTTGTTATAAAGTCATATGTCTTTTGAATTCGAAGCACATGTGCTTTTTGGACACATGTTGGTTGTTATATGTAAATGTTCAATCTACTGCTCTTACTTTCAAATGTCAAAATTTCACTTTGTGTGTGTTGTCCCCACACATGTTTAGCAATGCTAGAGGCATGGATGGCAGTGTCTGTCAGATGGTCGCCACTTTGATCCAGACTGAAATATCTCAATGACTATTGGATAGATTGCCATGAAACGGACATTCATGATCCCCAGAGAGGATAAGGCTGACTGACTTTTCATCTAGCGCCACCATAAAGTGAAGATTTCTGTTTGTTAAATATTTACATTTACAACATTAAAATGGTTTATATATATATAATATAAAGTATAATATTTAAACTAAAACTTAAACTAATGAGATTCTCATCACCCTCAGCAGCACTTTGTGAAACTAAGATGGTGAACATGCTAAATATTATATGCAGTTAGTATGCTGATGTTAGCATTTATATCACAGCACTGTTGTACCTGTAAGTAAAGCGTCACAGAGTGTGGCTGAAGACTCATTTTATATTTTATATTATATCACATTATTAAAAAAACCAAAAACACTTTTGCTTATATATGTCTTTAGATTTTATTTTAAGATGTGACCTTTTTTGTATAATTTCCCACCTTTAGACCCTCCATCCATCCATCTATCCATCCAACAATTCATTCAGTATACCTGATTATCCTGTTCAGGATATCCCAGTGTGCACTGTGCAAAAGGGAGAGTTGAGAGATTGCTGTCCTCACAACCTGCACAGAAACATTTTGTTTAGATAAGAAATTGGTCACAATGTGTGTCCTGTAGGGTGAGAATAATCTTTTAATGGTATTAATGTGTGTGCTGTAGTGCTCTTTCATTAGCAACATGCCGCATTGACACGAGCCACCCATCTAAAGTGTGACAGTCTATAGAGAGGAAGTCAGAACGGGGTCGATGGGTCACGGGGTCTTTATTCCCCCTCGCTGTCTTTGTCTTCCTCTTACTCCTCCATCTCACCGGCTGGCTACAATTTACCATTCATAGGACTGGAGTGAGCTTAAAATGTGCACAGGGTGGGGGGTTGCCTCTCTTTTTAATCATCCTCTACCCCAACACACACACGCGTCTCC